CTCCCGGGATGGTTTTGGGCACGGATCGCTCCCGGAGCGGCTCTGGGCACGGGGCACTCCCGGAGCCGGTTCTGCGCACGGGAGCCTTCAAAGCAAGGCACAGCTGGTACTAAAGCCTGGTGTTTGTTCTGCTGCAAATCCCGGGCTCTTAATTAAAAGTCAAAGCCAGATCAAGGGAAGGAAGAGTCACTTCAGAGAAGCCTCCGAAGGGGCTGCGGAGAACTGAGGAACGTGCCGGCAATTAACGGGTAATTAACGGGCAATTAACGGCACCTCGGGATGCTCCTGCCACTGTCAGCCCTGCTCCCCAGCCCCTCAGAGGTCCTGCCGAAGCCCAGGAGTGCCTGGAAAATGCTGCAGCAGGAGGGAACGTTTGGAGACCCCGAGCTGACCCCTGGCAAGGCCCCGGGAGCCGATCCTGGGCGGGGAGAGCTCACCCAGGGCACGGAGCGAGCACCTGGGGAAGGGGGGCTGCGGGTGGGAGACCACCGGGAGAGCTCCAGGGCGGGATGGGAGAGGTGAATCTAAACATCTGAAATCGCAGGCTCCTGCCCTAACCCCTCTCCGGTCCTCGGGCCACCTGGTCACTGGACAGGTCAGGGGGCTCTGCAATTAGGCAGCAAACCAAGCAGGATTTTCAGAGCCTGGAATGAGGCACTGCAGGCTGAGAATCAGGAATCTGATTTATTCCTTTCCCCTGAAACTGTCCAGTAACTCCCAGGCAGTGCCCAAGGCCAGGTTGGAGCAGCCTGGGACAGTGGGAGGTGTCCCTGCCATGGCAGGGCTGGCACTGGGTGGGCTCTAAGGTCCCTTCCAACCGAACCCATTCCAGGGTTCCATGATCATTGAGGCACCCTCTACCAAAACCCCCCAGTTTCACATCTCAGCTCCTCTGGAAGCCTTGAAATCCTGCAAACAAGTGAGCAGAAAAAGTGACTTTCCAGCTGGTGAAGTTCCAGGCAGGATCCTTTTCATTATTCACTCCCTCTCATTGATTACAGAACTTATCAGGATTTCAAGCCCTGACAAGGAAAATGCTTTTAAGTGGTTTCAGCTCTGTAACCAAATGAGCAATGCAGCAGGAATGGATGCCAGGGGAGGGGATCTGGGATTGAAATGCTGCACACAAACACTGATAAGCCACAGCAGGTTCCAGAAGCAGGGCTGTGCACACGCACAGCAGGAGGAAAACCTGCAGCAGTGAAGAGATCTGGGAGAGGAGCCCAAGCAAAACGCACCTGGAAAAACACAAGAGCAATGTAACAGTGTCCAAACACGAAAACAGTAAAGGTTTTCAAATCTCAATAGAATTTCCAAGAACAAGGATGCTTCCCTGTGCTGGAACAGCCGCTCAGCTGGGTATTAAACATCAGCTGTGCACAGAAAATCCAGATGCGGAGCCAAATGTAACTGCTCACCCCAAACGTGTCTGAATTTATACACTGGGAGCGTGCTGTCCTTCACCAAAGCACAGGCTGAGTTACCTCCTAAAGAGATTCCACTGCAATTAGAATTTGAACCCAAATCTGAAGCAGCAAAGAACCTGCAGAGCAAATGTTATGATTATGAAATGTTATGAAATGTTGTGGACCAAATATTCTTCAGACTTCAAAGAAAGCAGCAAATATCCAAATTAATAGGCCTGGCTGAACAGTGTTCCCTCCAGTTTGTGTCACCCTCCTGCTGCTGCAGTGAGCAGCAAATCAGGCCCAAAGTCCATTTTCAGGCAGGAATAAACCAAAGGTGATGGGCACAATTTTAATTCCAACTTCAACGTTATTGTGGGGAACATTTCCCCCTCCAAGGCTGAGCTGAAGAAGTCAGGCAGAACGTTTTACCACAGGCTCCAGGAACAGCTCCTGTATATGGGAGTATAGGAATTCAATTATTAATTACTCTGCAGGAGAAGGGAAGCTCCCAAAAGGCACCGAGCTCCTCCAGATGAAAGCAGCAGGAGCAGTGCTGTGGGTGCCTCTGGGGAAGGGGCAGGAGAGAACCCCCAGCCCAGACCTCGGGACATCCTGGGGGTCCCACGGAGGGAAGGCTGCAGAACCAACCTAAAAACGGGTGCAGCAAGAAACCATGAGCCCCTCTGTGCTGTCAGAGCAAAATCAGGGAAAGCAAAACCAAACCCCATCTGCACCATTTCTGCTCCTCTTTGGAACTGCACCATTTCTGCTCCTCTTTGGAACTGCACCATTTCTGCTCCTCTTTGGAACTGCACCATTTCTGCTCCTCTTTGAGAACTGCACCATTTCTGATCATAGAGAACTGCACCATTTCTGCTCCTCTTTGGAACTGCACCATTTCTGATCCTCTTTGAGAGCTGCACCATTTCTGCTCCTCTTTGAGAACTGCACCATTTCTGATCAGAGAGAACTGCACCATTTCTGGTCATTGAGAACTGCACCATTTCTGCTCCTCTTTGAGAACTGCACCATTTCTGGACCTCAAATCCCACCCAGTGATCTCTGTTTGTCTTTGAGAACTGCACCATTTCTGCTCCTCTTTGAGAACTGCACCATTTCTGTTCCTGTTTGGAACTGCACCATTTCTGGTCATTGAGAACTGCACCATTTCTGATCATTGAGAACTGCACCATTTCTGTTCCTGTTTGAGAACTGCACCATTTCTGTTTGTCTTTGGGGATCTGCAGGAGCCACACAACCCCACGATTTGCTTCAGCAGTGAAGCTGCTGGCACCTGGGACACTCGAACACAACATGATTTCAGGAGAACACACTTCTGTCCCACGGGTCTGCCACGAGTGCCTTGGGGTGTCAGGAGAAGGATGAAACACAAAAGCAGTTTATTGACATGAGCATTTTTTGCCTCCAAAGGATCTATTTGAAGGTGATGACAATCAGTTTAACCCCCCCTTCCTACTCGAGGCTCGAGTGCTCATCATCCTGATTCCTGAGAGACGGAGCAGCCGGGCCAGCTCCAGGCACATCCTCACAGGAGAGCAGCTGCAACAAAGGCAGGGAAAAAAGCTCCAAACCCAGAGTGCTGAGAACAGAGAGGAAGAATCCCACTTGTTCCATCTCTTTCAGATGCCAGCAGTGAGATGCAGGTTTGAGAACTGCTGCTCTCCCTCCTTCATCTCGGCGCAGGCGGCGTTAACGCGCGGAGAGGAGAGCAGAGACGTGCCTGTTCCCAGTGCCTCTCCTTCAGCTCATCCCTCTGCACTCATTGTTATCACCACACAACAGAGGGGATGTTTTAGGAGGAAGAAATAGTATCTCTAGGACGATTTTTATGGCATATAATTCACACAGACAGACATCAAAATCCCACTCCATCGGTGCTCGCGCGAGATGAGTTCAGAGACTGCTTCAGCTCCTGAAGAATTAAACACACTTTCAAAGGGTCTCACACAATAGTGCTGCTGAGAACCTGGTGATAGTCATCATTAACAAGAGATTTAATTTAAAGATTGTGGAATGCTCACGGTATCAAACACACAGCTCTTATTTGCACAAGGTGGGATTCGGCAGCTGGGGAAGGGCTGGCAGGAATATATCAGTGTTCATCCAGCCCCAGCACCATCACAGAGCCCTGCCTGGGGACAGGACAGCCCCAGCCCACCCTGCACAGACACATCCCTGCACACAGGGCTCTGCAAACAGCCTCCCTGACAGCACAGCCCCTGAGGGCTCTGAGGGCTCCTCCACACAAACTCTGTATGTGAAAACAGCTGAGAACCAGGGCTCGAGAGCACCCACAACATGCCAGGGTAAATATTGTAACATGGAGGAGCAGAGGATGACAAGGAGGCCTCTGTGCAGTGAAATCCCTGCACTGTCACCTGACAAAGCCCTCCAGGACCCAGTAACAGCTCTGCAGGGACAGAATCCCCCAGCCCAGCCTCAGCCACCAGATCTCATTAGAGCCAAAGGCCTTCATCTCAGCACCACCCAGCAATGCCCATGGCATTTCCTGGGGAAAGCAGACCAGCTTTTAAATTTCTCTGCTCACCACAAAGCATTGGATAATGCTCCAACCCAAACCCTCCACACTGCTCTGGGCCAGGATCTGTGTCCAGGAGTGCTGAGCTGCTCCCTGGCACCCAAACTCCCCCCACACCCCTCTGGGTGGGAGCTTTCATCAATTCTCAGTCAAACAAATCCTGCCATGAACTGGTTTCCCCTGATGACAACTGAAGGCAATCCTCCCCCAGGACCCACTCCAACTGCTGGGAGATCTGCAGGGCTGGGATGGCCACCAGGTGACACCAGCTGTGGCTTCTGTGTCACAGAGGCACATTGTGCCCAACACTTCTCCAGGCTGTTCTAATCATGGAATCCTGGAATGGTTGGGTTGGAAGGGACCTCAAATCCCACCCAGTGACAGCCCTGCCATGGCAGGGACACCTCCCACTGTCCCAGGTGCTCCAGCCCCAGTGTCCAGCCTGGCCTTGGGCACTGCCAGGGATCCAGGGGCAACCCCAGCTGCTCTGGGCACCTGTGCCAGGGCTGCCCACCCTGCCAGGGAACAATTCCTTCCTAAATTGTTCCATTCTCCATCTAAAACAAAGCAACACCTCCAGCCGCCCTTCACTCAAACAAAAGCACTCCTGGTCCCCCATTCCAGAGCAGGAGGAGGGGAAGGAAGAGTTCAGTAATTACCTGTGCATTTCCTGTCCGTGTCCTCCTTCTTGGAGCCAGTGATGGTCAGCTTGCAGTTGAAGTTCTCCTCCCAGTACTCTGCAAACCACACGTTCCTCCTGTTGTTCTCCAGGGTGCGAGAGGTGAAATAGGTGTCAAAGCCTGCAGGAGGAGAGGGCAGGGCTGAGTCCTGGCTGCTCTGCACTGGGAGCTGCAGCCTGGCACAGACACTGCCCCCGTGCCCCCCTCAGTGCCCAGCACACGGCTCTGTCCCTGCCAGGTCATTGTGGGAACAGAGAAAATCCATGTATCCTCACCAGCTGCATCCTGCAGGAAAATGACTCTAACTGCCAGGTACAAAACTGGGCAAGACAAACACACAACAGATCAATATTAAAAGAAGTTATAAGGAAAAAAGCATGGATTAGAGATGTACCAATTCAAGTGAAATAAATTACATGGTGCAGCTGATATTGGGCTGAGCTTGTCACTAATTTTGTTCTTGGCCTGCCCAGACTTCCAGAGGAGGCATCTCCATCTCAGCAGCACCTCTGTGCACACAGAGCCCGCTGGAGCCAGCAGCAGCCTTCCACAACAGCCATGCCCTGTTCCTGTCCCACCACACTCTGGCTGTTCCCTGGCAAACAAGGTTTGCATGAGCACAAATACAGCAGCGCACGTCTGTGTGCTCACACAAAGCCTTTGGTGGCTTCTCGTGTCTTTTCTGCCTGTGCAGCTGGCAGCAGCTGTGCCCACTCACTGCTCAGACAGAGCAGTGGCACAGCCACGAGCTCCTGGCACAGAGCAGGGCAGCTTTGTGCTCTGGAGTGCCATGAACGGGCGATGCTGCTCCACCCTGCAGCCCTGCCCCAGCTCCTGGCACCCCAAACCCTGCTGTCCTTCCACAGCCCTGCCCCAGCTCCTGGCACCCCAAACCCTGCTGTCCTTCCACAGCTCCTGGCACCCCAAACCCTGCTGTCCTTCCACAGCTCCTGGCACCCCAAACCCTGCTGTTCCCAAGCCAGCTTCCACTGGCATCCCACAGTCCTGCTGGCAGGAGGGGCTGCAGATACACCTTCCGTGGAAAGGGGAACCTGCCTGGCACTGCAGCCAAGGATTTCCCTGCTGCAATAGGTGGGGAGAGCCAGGCAGGCTGGCACAGCCAGGATGGAGCAGAGGCTGAGGAAAACCATCTGGCACGGTGAAATTAGCACGACAACCCTTCCACCAGGGATAAAAATAGCACAAAGCCAGCTGTTTTCAAATTGGAAAGGAGCTGGGAACGGGGTCAGGCCCTGTTCTCCCTGCTCTGTGTGCCAGTGACCCAGCTCTAACCTGTGCTGTCCCAGGCTGAGTCTGCTGCTCTCCACACATCCCCAGCTCCGAAGGCACAGCCCACACCATCTCCAAAGACCAGCAGAAACATCAGCACTGAGGCCTTCCAGAAACAGCCTGAAAGCTAATTCACATTTTAGCTCAGCCTCACCAGCAAATGAGGCAGTTTATCAAAAGCAAAAGTAGGTCCCTGGTCCAAGAGAGGCAGCAGGAGGGTGCCAAGCCCAGAGTACACCCCCGGCCTGAAGGACTGCAAGCAGCCCATGGGAAAATGCAAGAAAACCACCAAGTGGGCTGGGAGAAAGCCTCAGGGCTGGGCTGCAGCTTTGCTGAGCCCCTGGGTGCACTCTGTGAGCTCCACTGACTTCCCAGCCCTGACTGGGGGCTGCAGCTTGAAACGAAACCTCCCCAGAACGAAATGGATCCAAGTGCAGGAAAGAGAGATCCTGGGGTGGCAGAGCCCCCCATCTCTCCCTGCTCTGTTTTCCTGAGGCAGGGATTCACCTGGGCCTGCCACAGACTGAGTAAATAATTGGTTAAAACTCCTGGGACACCTGGTGTAAATAATTAGTGATTCAGGAACATTCTGTGCAGTCTCTGGAAGGGCCAGGACTATTTCTCTACCCAAACTCTTCTGTAATTCTATGCTCACTATTTAGAGGTTTAAATTTCCTTAGGAAAATATTCAGAAAACAGCCAGGTTTTAGGGACACACAACCAAAACTTTTTCCTGTAACGCTGTGTATTTTGGTTTTCCTCCTAATTAAAAGAGCATTTCAAAGGGGATAGCCAGTCCTAGGATCTACAACATCCATATGGCTGGGAGAGAGCACCAATAAACCCTCCCCACGTGCCAAGCTCCCTGACCTCTGGGGAAAGTGCTCTATAACTTAATAATGTAAAATCAATGAGTCCTGATAAAACTGTAATAGAATTCCATATGAATTACTCTGAACCTTTACAGATTTAATAACAAATAATAACATTCCCATTGATTGGTTTAAGGATCCCTCTGCATTCACAGGCAGGAATATGGATCCCTATTAGAAAGGGAACATTTGTTACCATTCTTTCCCATTGACTGGGACAAGTGGGTGGGTGACAGTGGGACGGGCTCAGGGCTGGACAAAGCCCTGGGCATCTCTCCCTCCTGCAGGGCAGCTCCTGGGAATGCTGCTCCTGGAGCCAAGGTCCTGGAGAGCCCCTCCCAGAGCACCCCTGGACACTGCCCCCCTTCCCAGCCTGGAACAGGAATGTGGGATGGGTTGGGCTGGAAGGACCCTAAATCCCACCCAGTGCCACCCCTGCCATGGCAGGGACACCTCGCACTGTCCCAGGCTGCTCCAGCCCTGTCCAGCCTGGCCTGGGACACTGCCAGGGATTATTGCACCAGCCAGGACTGTTCCCACAGGGCTGTCCTGCAGGTCCATCTGTGCCAGTGGAAATCTCAAATGCTTCTCTCATTTTAGACCCTTTTGGAATGAGCCTGACCCGTAACACTCAGGTGAACAAGGCAAACATTCCAACCTCACACCTGGGCCTGTGCTTGGCCTTTCTGACCTGAAAACAGGCAGACAGCTCACACACACAGAGCTGAACTGAGACTGCTGGGCTCAGGGGCTCGGGGGATTCGATGACCCAGCAAAAAACGCTGGATGCTTAAATGCAGAAGCAGAAAAAATCCCTTCTCACCCCTGCTCGTGACCAAGCACTGCACTGGTGTGACAAGATTTAGTGATTCCCCAACATTCTCCATATTTCATACTTTAGCAAATTACTTTTTCAGCAAATACCTCTAAGAGATATAAATAGTTCTTTTATGAGATTTTCCAAATTACAATGAATCTCTTATTACTTCAAATCACTGTGATTTGATTAAATCATTATTTTTACACATAGAAAGATGATACTACCTAAAGGGTTCATTTATTTTCCACCACGGGATAAACACAGACATGAACTCCATTGTGATGAGACAGAGGAAGAAAAGGGGGAGCTGGAGCGGGGAGTGGGGGAAAGGGACAGGATCCCAAACCCTGGGGAGGAGCTGGGCAAGTCCAGCTGAGGGACAGGTACAGCAGCACCAGGAATGCTCTCAGAGCCCCTCGACTGCCAGCCAGGAGATAAACCCTGCTGAGCCCACCCCAAAGCCCAAGGATGGATTTCTGAGTGACCCCTGCCTCCCTGCAATGCCATCTCCTGCCTGCGTATGGCTCAGCTCCCTCCAGGGCTGGGAACTGTCCTTGCTCGGGAGGCCAAGGGAGGCTGGGGCTCTGCCAGGGGCACCTCGGGGACTGAGGGGGCTGGATCTGTCACCAGGAGGGTCAGGGGCACACCAGGGACAGGGACAGGGGAGCCTGGCAGCAGGGTTTGTCACCAGGAGTGAGGGGCACACCAGGGCTGAGGGGGCTGGATCTGTCACCAGGTGACCAGGGGTCAAGGGCACACCAGGGACAGGGGAGCCTGGCAGCAGGGTTTGTCACCAGGAGTGAGAGGCACACCAGGGACAGGGGAGCCTGGCAGCAGGGTTTGTCACCAGGAGTGTCAGGAGCACACCAGGGACAGGAGAGCCTGGCAGCAGGGTTTGTCACCAGGAGTGTCAGCAGCACACCAGGGACAGGGATGGGCTGCAGGAAAAGGCAGGTTACCCAGCAAAAGCAGATTTTCCCCTGTGAAATCCAGGTGGAGTCGGGGATCCAGGGCTGGGCTGGCAGCAGCAGCAGGCAAGGGAAGCTCCCAGCACCCCCAGCAAGGGCAGCAGGGGTGGCTGTGGGTCCCACGTGCCACCAGCACAGCAGGAGTTCAGAGGGGACTTGTGTCACCTCTGCTTGGCCACTGCACCAGCACACGTGCAAACCGTCCCCGCCATGTGTCACAAGGGACTTCAGGGGCTCAGGGCTTATTTAATAAGGAAAATCATTAAGCCTAATTAAACCACAAAATGATTGACCCAGTGCATTTGCCATGTGCCTTGAGTACTCTCATTGTCAGCCAGGTGAGAGCAAATCCAACATATTGACCCAATTCCGCTGGAGCAGGGATGTGATCAGTTTATGATATTTTTACTCTTCTGTTTAGTCCCAAGGATGTCCACACTACTGACAGCCAGTTATTTACCCACACAGTAAATCATCACCTGCTATAATTATTGATGCCAAATGAGCTGAAAGCAGCTACTCAAACACTTTTCCAATTTTCCTAGCATTTAACCCAAAGCAGTTTCATTTACTGGCATTAAATCTGGGATAAAAGCATTAGGTGGGGAATGACAGCATCAATTTTAGGACTGCAAGTCTCTCTGCAGATTTTATGCTGCTGCCCAGCCACACACTATGAGGTGGTGTTAAGACAGTCCACAGATATTTTTTTGACCTTTTTGCTCGGTAAAAAGGCCATAAAATAAATGATTTCATTAACTTCCATCATGCCATGAAAGTGCTTTGCAGCTGTTTTCTTTTTCAATAATTGCAGATTATAACTGTGCAGAAGGGTTCTTTAGGTGGTGGCACATTTGACTTTTTATATCCATGGCATAAATCACGTACAGAGGGAATTCCATTCAGCGCAGACCTGGGATTTTGAGCTGTTCTCTTGGGGAAACAGGCAGATATTGGCTGAATGTCCTTTTTACCACGGTATGAATGACACAGCTGCAGGGAGATCCTCAGCCAGGGCTGGGTGGGGCAGCCCTGGCAGGAAAGGTTCATTCCCAGGCTGTTATTATTCATTATCCTACATCCCACAGCCCTGAGCACCTCTCACTCCCGTGTGCACAACACCAGCAGCACAAGGCCTGCTGTTTCCATTCCCAGGGCACAGCCTGGGCA